AAATCAGCCAAATCGGTCCAGCCAACCTCAAGTTATGGCGTGATAACGGGAAACATATTTAACATATTTAACGAACTACTGACTATAGCTTTAAAACGTCATAATACTTCACCTGTATCTTTGACTTATCTGTATCAATAAATAAATAATGCATTTAAAATGATTTATGCTTTTGTTTTTACGTAAAACGATTAAACAGGTAATACATCACACTACACGACTTAAGTGTGAGAGAGCCATGCTTCGGCACGAATGGGCCGGCTCGACCGGAGTGATACCACGGCCTCACATATGACCGACGTGAAACCATACTTGCGTGAGTGAGGTTACCGGAGGCCCAATTACCCCTCCTTTCCCAATCCCTGAATCCCCAACAATCCTCAAATTTCTAATCCCAGATTTTTCGGATCGATCGGATGAATCGGATTCGAAACGGCTTGCCCGGCAGTCGCACTTGCGACCACTGGGCCAATGAGCCACTCAGTCAACAACAATACACAACAACAACACCCAAACAAAACCACGAAAAAGAAAAAACCAAACAACAAATTTTCAAAATGTAATATTGTATCAGTGCGGCCAGTAAAGTACTTGTAACGCCTCTGGTGTTCCAAGTGTACATAGGCGACGCCGATTGTTTACCATCAGTTACTCCGTCTGCTCGTTTACCGGCTTCACTACATAGTATAAAACAGTGTATGCTTAGATCTTTAAAACTACGCAACGGATTTTGATGCGGTTTTTTTTAATAGATAGAGTGATTCTTAAGGAAGGTTTATATGTATAATACATGCATATTGCACCCGTGCGAAGCCGGGGCGGGTCACTAGTATCCCATAAAAAACATTTTTATAAATTTGTTTGTTCGGATGTTTGTCCGTCAATCACGCTGAAACTACTAAACAGATTTTGATGAAATTTGGTATACCTACAGGCAGGCGGACTTAGGTGATAGTTTACTTTTGTCCCGCATAAATGCCCCCATGGGATAAAATAGGAATACGAGAGCAAAGTCGCAGGTAAAAGCTAGTAAAAATATTTTCATGTTGAACGGGTTTAATGACCTCTATTCTACCAATCAAGCCTTTATGTTTGATATCCATAGTGACGGTAGTTGTGGGAAAAATTGGATTATATTGTATGGTCATCAAGATAATATTTTAAACTGTCCAACACCAAGCGGTCACCGGTGACCGCAACCTATTGTTCTATAATTGTGTGTATAATGACGGTACTCGACGAGTTAAACGTACGCCCATAGGATATTCTCCTGTGTCGTTTGTGCGTTTACAAACATACAACTTCACATACACATGACCTACGGACCAACAATTTGTGGATCACACAAAGAGTTGCTCCGTGCGGGATCGAAGCCGCTGCACGTTGCGCGGCTAACCGTGCAGTCAAAGACAGATCGATCTGTCGTCAGGAAGGGGGGGAAATTACAATTACTTGACCCAAACAGACAAACAGGGCAAGCTAAATACCTCTAAAATCGTTTAGAAGAATCAATAATCCGTGTGAGTCCTCTGCTTGAATATAGGTCTCCTCTACATAAGAAAGTCCACTCAATAAAATAATGCTTCCCAAATAGTTCTTAGTTTTATTATAGAGGGCGTTGTTTTGTTACTTATTAGTAGACGCTAATTCGTATGTTTTGAATGTGACACGTGTCGTGTTCGCATTTTTAAGACAAAAACAGTTAAGGGACGCGAGGCTTGCAAAGAGAAAGCGGTTTTAACCGTCCGGCTTTTTAAAACCGTGCTACGAAAATTACTACGACGTAGCGCCGTAGCAAAATCGTAGTAACTAAATGCTACAATAAATATTATGATTTTTCTTAACAGGGCATGTTCGGGATCGCAGTATAAGAGGTTCAGGTTTATCAGAGAGCTGTTGCCCGGGCTCTATTAAATGTGTAGTCCCTTATTTGGGTTTACGACACCCACGGGAAGAGTAATGTATTCTTACGCTTCCATCAGCAGACGACACCATGCCATGTGTATTACCAGATGACATTACACACTTAAAAAAATTATACTCTTACATATCCATGTCTTCCGATCCACTTATTGGGGTATTCAGTGTCCAGCCACTTTCTGACACTTCTTAAGGGTGCGGGGCAACTATCGTGTTAAAATCACATGTCATGAATAAGGTTTAATTGTGTATCATCGGGCAAATCAAAATCCCCAAAGGATCAGTAAGCTGAAGTGGCAGTGGGCCGGTCACATTTGTCAAAGAACCTATAACCGCTGGGGTAAACGTGTTCTAGAGTTGAGACCGCGTCTAGGCAAACGCAGTGTAGGGCGCCCTCCAGGTAGGTGGAGTGACGACATCCGCAAGGTGGCTGGCAGTGGTTGGATGGTCAATGTTCTTTAGGTTGGTATTGTTCGTCGAATCAGTCAGCCTCACCTGTTAATTGAGCTGACTGTAAACCGACACATGCGTACTGCCTTCAGAACGGGTCCGCTCAAACTGTTGTGGTTCTTTCCTCAAAAGCCCACTACAGAAAGAACTGGCACGGTTCTCACACATAATCTGTTATACATATTGTCTGGACTTTAAAAGAGACAGACCTCTGAGTTTGTTTCGGCATTTCTTCTCAGAGTAGTCAGTTAGGAAATGTCGACCTCATCGTTCGCTTGATAAAATTGACGTGTAAAAGTGCTGCCTTGTAGCCTATTTGCAGAAATAAATTCACTTGTTTCACTTGTTTCACTTGTTTCACTTGTTTCACTTGGATGAGAAGAGCTGAAGACCGAGCTCAGTGGCGTGCCATTGGAGAGGCCTATGTCCAGCAGTAGACGAATACAGGCTGATGATGATGGGCAAATCAGATAGTTCGTTGTTCGTTTCTGCGTCTTTGTTTTAAGCTTATTAACACATTATTAAACGCCGTGGTGGTCTTCGGTTACCAACGTTAGCGGAGGATTAGCCTTTACAGTTTTTCATCAATTGTAACTTGCTCGTTTTATCATTTATAACGATTATTTATTTATTAACACGTTCGAGGACAGAACGAGATTATACGTTATCGTTCGAGATTTTAATATCGCACAACGTACGATGACGTTCAAATAACATTTAAATTATACGGCAGAACGTTCATTTCCGATGAAAGTTCAAGTAAAAATCCTTTTGAATGTATCTTATGTCACAACACATAAAATACTCAATACTGTACTGTCACGTAGGGTAAGTTTAGAACTATTTCAAATAAGTGCCGTTGATAGTGTGCGGTTACGGTATTCACATATGCACAACGTATTTATACGTCCCGCGCTCCTACATTCAACGCGGCTGTGTCACTGTGTATTACGTGTTTAATGCAAATTAATGATTTTACAGTGTGAAATTGATGTTGAATGGGTTATTGTATGTTTTAGACGGATATAATTACAAATAAGACATAAGATAAGCATGTTTGATGATTCGGACACCTCCATCGAGGCGGATCATTACCAAGATGCATTTACACGGTGACGTAATAAAACGGTTGTGTCATGATATGTTTAAAACAATATTTTTTCATGGGACACTACGTACTGATACGTCGTATAATTTTGTATAGACATTTACTGTGTCATTCTGAAACCCGACTCAAGTGGTAGCGTCCTCGAACGTGTTAATAAAGATTATTTGTTTATATGTATATCTCAGAAAGCGATTGAATTCTAGCAGAAAGCCGCTGTACGCAGGTCGCTTCCAGCCTCGCGATGTGTAGTCATTGGGGGAGGACTGTGGGGGGCAGTGGAGAGTACGTGGCTGTACGCATGATGATGACAATTTTGATATAAGTCGTCCGCTTCTCATGCATGAACGTGCGGGCTGGAAAACTACCAAAACGGCATTTTGCAAATAAATGATTTGATTTGAACGACAAGTACCAATGTGACTCCGAGTCGCGGAGAACCTGACGGGCCACCGGGGCTCCGGCTCGACGTGCAGGAGTAGGAACGGGGTGGTTTTTAGTCAGTAAGAGTCTGACACTAAGAAGTCATTCGATGATTTTCCCCACTTAAAAAAAGTACCAATGTGACATTTTCCGAGTTATATGTACTTTCTAAGATCATTTAGACTCCACTGACAAACGGCGAAGGAAAACATTGTGATGAAACCTGGGCTTATAATTTCTAACTATAAGTTTGAAGTCACCAACGCACATTGAGCATGCGTGCTGATTAATGCTCAAACCTTCTCCGTGTAAGAAGAGGCCTTTGGTTAGTAGTGACCACTTAGAGGCTATCGATGATAATGATAATTGTGTGAGGACAATTAAAAACAAAATTAATTTTCATCACGGATATTTTAATACCCTTCTCTAGTTTATTACAATCAAAAACTAACAATTATTTAATTATTATTGTTAATTATTATTTAATTCATTTATTACTAAGTCACCTCCTAGTTGTAAACTTAACTTAAAACATTAATTTAAAACGAAAATTTTAATACATTTTGTAGCAATTTTGGAAAACAAATATTAAAGACTTCAAAAAGTGTAAAAGCTCTGCATTGGATTTGAACCTCGCTACCATCAGTTGACTGGACAGTCTCTACACTGTTTACATGTCAACATTAGCTCATGACGATACCAGCGTACGTGTGTCACTGGACAGTGAACCTCGCTACCATCAGTTGGCTGGACAATCTCTACACTACACGAGTCACTGTTTACATGTCAACATTAGCTCATGACGATACCAGCGTACGTGTGTCACTGGACAGTGAACCTCGCTACCATCAGTTGACTGGACATCTACACTACACGAGTCACTGTTTACATGTCAACATTAGCTCATGACGATACCAGCGTACGTGTGTCACTGGACAGTGAACCTCGCTACCATCAGTTGACTGGACATCTACACTACACGAGTCACTGTTTACATGTCAACATTAGCTCATGACGATTCCAGCGTACGTGTCACTGGACAGTGAGTCTCGCTACCATCAGTTGACTGGACAATCTCTACACCAAGTACCAATGTCATTATTACTTATTTCGCATTTTTACAATTTTCGAAGTCTTTAGTAATTTTATTGAAAATATTAAATCTCGACTACGGTGGTTGTCTGATTTTTATCTTCATTCCGATACGATTTTCAAAATAGTTTCAAATAAGGTTATTTGTTTAAAATCTCCAATGTCAAATACTTTGCTAAACAATTGAGCGAAATATATTGATGTCATAAAATTAAATAATGTAGGCTTTTTCATTGTTGTTTAAATCTTAATACATGCAGAATTATTTTCGGAAGAAAAATTAACAAAAATGATTAATTTCATGTACATAAAAACTATATAAATCAACAATCCGTTCCTACTCAACCACCAACAAAAACTACCAAAAAATCTACCAAAAACAGAAACAATTTTCTCAACTAGCAACCCCAAACCAAACCATAGTCGAGTAAACGGGAATGTATAACGATTATTTTAAAATTAGTAATCGATTTGAAACGCTACGGTATCGATATTTCGTTGTAATCGATTTAATATGATTCTTTTTGTTTTCGTCGTGCGATTTCGGCGCTGGCTTCTTGGATTGCTTCCCAGAGCTTGGCTTCGGACAGAATTTGCCTGGATAATTCTTCAATGGCGGTTTCTGAGTCGAGGAGAGAGCCGAGGGTCTCATCATCCATGTACTGAAAAAATGAATTCAATTAAATATATGAAACTTACCTAAACATTGAGTTACTCACGTAAATATACTGAGATAAACTCCACTAGTTTTGAGTCACAGAGGGACTCTTCCTCATGAGCAGCGTGCACAGTCGCAGCGATGTCGCGCAGCCTACTCGCCTATCGCCTGAGTCGAAACTAGTAGAGCTTTTCTCGGATATTTACGTGATTAACTCGCAAGTTTAAGTTAATTCAGCACGTCTCACGATAGTTGTTATAAAAATATATAGTATGAATCAGTAGATTGTCGCATTGGTTGACTGATTTTAAGTCGTTCATGTGTTGTTCAGACTATCAAGACCATCTAGGTCGACTATAAAGTCGATAGATGCAATTGCAGTTTAGTAGACTACCTCGTTGGCCGAGTGATTGCAACGCCTGTCGGGCAAGGGATCTCGGATTCGATTTCCGGGTCGGGCAAAGTATTACTGGATTTTTAAAATTATCCTTAGCAGAAGCACGGAGCCTGGAATTGTGCTCGGTATATGGGAATAGGCTCACCCCCTATTACATGGGACTCATAACATAAATAGTGAAAAGTGGGTGTTGCATTGTACAGTGGCATTAAGTGTCGTAGTGAGCACCTCTGCCTATTCCTTGTAATGATGATATATAGTATAGTTTTCAGGTTTCAAATTTCGTATATCTTCTTTATATATACAATTCTGCTGTACGTGTGTATGTCATTGAACTCCTCCTAAACGGCTTGACCGATTTAAATTAATTTTTCTATACGCGTTTGAGTGGCGCCCTGGATGGTTTAGATTCACAAATCTGCCCGGCAGAAGGCGCTGTAGTCGTTTCTAGGTTGGTTATCCTAGACGACTGAACTAATTTGAATGAATTTTTGTTTATACATTCAAGTGGATATGCAGGACAACGTCTGTCGGGTCCACTAGTATAATTATATTCAAGGAGTTCGAAATAGTGTAATTCAAATATTACTTTATGACAATAGTCTCATACCTATATTATTATGTGACTAAGAAACGAATCCCTACATAGTATAAAACAAAGTCGCTCTCCGCCGTCTGTCTGTCCCTATGTATGCTTAGATCTTTAAAACTACGCAACGGATTTTGATGCCGTTTTTTAAATAGATAGAGTGATTCTTAAGGAAGGTTTATATGTATAATACATGCATATTGCATCAGTGCGAAGCCGGGGCGGGTCGCTAGTGAGAAATGTATTAAAAGGCGTTATGTTTACAATTCTATCTGCAATGCTAACAGCAGATAAGAAAATACACTTAAGACTGACCGTTTTAATTATTGCTAACCATAAAGCGGGGTCGTTAACTGAATTAAATAAAACTAATCAACATTATGATGAAGTAATTAAAGTTTTAAAATATACAGCTGAAATAAACTACAGACAAGTGTAGGAGAGCCATGCTTCGGCACGAATGGGCCGGCTCGACCGGAGTGATACCACGACCGAGCAGAAAACCGACGTGAAACATTGTTGCGTTGTGTGTCGTTGTGTGAGTGAGGTTACCGGAGGCCCAATATTACCTCCCTCCTCAATCTTCCCAGTCCCCAAATCCTCTACAATCAGACAGAACCATTTTACTTCGGGACGTAAATAGGTTTCACGGTTTATATGACAATAGAGTCACCCCTTATTACATGGGACTCATAACGCAACCGGACAACAGTGGGTGTTACTTTGTATATGTTCACCACTGTCTACCTCTTTGAGGATGAATTATGACGTAGGTTAAATGATGCTCACCTGTTTCTGCCTCATCAGTTCTTGAGCAGGCATGCCTGGAGCCTGTTGGGACCTCTTGCGACCACAGCCTGGAATTAAACAAGAATTAATGGATAAATAAGAATTAATGGATAAATGGACTGCCTCATTGTCCGAGTGGTCGCAAGTGCTACTGCCAGGCAAGGGGTCTCGGGTTCGATTCCCGGGTCGGGCAAAGTATTACTGGGTTTTTCAAAAATTCCCAGTAGTAGCACGGAGTCTGGAATTGTGCCCGGTATATGGCAATAGGCTCACCCCCTATTACATGGGACTCATAACATAAATAGTGAAAAGTGGGTGTTACATTGTACAGTGGCATAATGTACACCTCTGCCTACCCCTTCGGGGATAAAAGGCGTGATGTTATGTTAATGGATAAATAAACAGACAAATTAAATAATGTTTAACCTCATCTAAAGCTTTTTCCTGAACTGAAAATCTAGGAATCACACTGGAGCCCAAACCTCTCATCGGAAACATCTGAAACTTTGAGTGTGCATTCTTTGTATGACGTAAGTGAACAATAAGATTTTTCGCAATTCAACCCCTAAAGGGGTCAAAAGTGGGGTTAAAGTTTGTATGGAAAAACTCGATCCTTGGTCCGATCTATTTCAAATTTCGCATGAACATTCGTTAATACAATTGAACGAAGATCTGATTCATATTATTTGAAAATACAATGTCGAATTGGGTCAAAAAGGTGTAGAAAGATTTAAAATTTTATAAATAGGCAATAAATCCTCCTTAGGATCCCTCTTGATGTCCAATTCCATTTAAAAAATGTTATGTTCTAAATTTGAAAATTCGAAATGTGACAATGACGGTCATAAGTATTTATTTACTTTTTTTAGTGAGGTGGAACAGTGATAGTACGGTAGTTGACAGGTAATCAAATTCAATACTTTTATTTTTAAATGTCAAAAACGATACTTTTCTATGAATTTCGTATTGGATTGCAACTTATGACGTTATCATATTTCTGCGTCAAATAGCATACTTTTTTCCTAAAAATTAGCGAGAAAAAATCCAAAAGTAGGTTTGGATTTTTTCACATCCATTGATGAGAGTATGATTATTTCTTAATTATTTATAGCATTGAAGAGTTGAAACAATTTATTTTAAGCCTAGGAAACTACACAAATCTACCTAGACCTAGATTATTGTCAAATCGATTGATGTGTCCCATGAAATAAGGGGTGAGCCTATTGCCATCTATCAAACACATTTCCAGACAACGTGCAACAACCGAGAAGTTTTAAAAACCCAATAACATTTTGCGCGACCCAGGATTCGAAGCCGAGGCCCCTTGCCCTAGCGAACACTCGGCCAACGATGCAGCTGTTACGGATAGTAGTATAAACAATTCTTACCAGTGAAAGCATTGCAGAAGGGTCTCTTCTTGGGTGTCATCAGCATCTCCTCGGACAGGCGACCTTCGTAGTTCCTGGGGATCTAGAAATGTAGGCTAAACTTTAGACCTGAACACTGAAGACTAGGTTTTTGTCTATTGGTTTTTTTACGAGATAAGTCGGTAAACGAGCGGACGGATCACCTGATAGTAAGCAATCAGCGTCGCCCTGGAAACAGACACCTGGAATACTAGACGCGTTACAAGTGCGTTACCGGCGTTTTAGGGATTAGGAATTTAAGGATTGTTAGTGATTCAGGGATTGGGGATAGTGGGGATTAGGAATAGTCATAATAGGCCTCCGGTAACCTCACTTACACAACGTAACACAACGCAAGCGTTGTTTCACTATGGTTTTCTGCTCGGCCGTGGTATCACTCTGGTCAAGCCGGCCTATTCGTGCCGAAGCATGATTCTCGTACCCGTCCTTGGTCGAATGGTTGTGTGCTCGGACAAATGCTGTGCAAGAGGTCTGGGGCTTAAACTCCTTGCTCGGTCAGTTGTTCTTAGCCAGTAGGTGTAATGCAAAGGCTTTTGTTTTTTTTTAATCTTCAGTAGATAGTAATTGTCATAACAAACAGGCGAAACCAACAAATAAAAATATTCTGATTTTGATTCTGAAAAGTGGATTAATGTTATTTGTCTATGGATGGACCTCCACGTAGACCTTTGGAAAATAAAGGACTGTACATTAAATATTGATTCTGTCTGAATTCTGGTTAAAACCTGTTTAAGAAAGCTATTATATTGCTTGGGCAAACACGTGCAAAAGGATTAGCCGATTTATCACACAGCTTAAATATCAACTGAAAAAAAAATGAACTAACCGAGGCTGTATGGCAGCATTCCATGTACAGCAGCGCCACCACGACGAACAACGAAACGCGTGACACGGACATGGCGGGAAAATTTGACAGCTTTTGCTCAAAATGGACGACCTGTTGACAATGATAATGAAAATTTAAATAATGTTCACATAGAATGTTATAATAATGATTTCCTAATAATATACAAGGTGAGGTTTTGAAACCGTGTCATTTATCGGGGGCATGTCACAGAAGTCATAATGGTTTAATGTAAGAGAAAGTTTTGGGTCAATAGTTAAAAATACGGCTATAATAAATCGTTTAAGTTCGACAGTATTTCAGAATAAGCGACAGCCATGTTTGTTATTTGAGTTTTATGGAATTAGGAATAATATCAATTACGTGTTTGAGTTTGTGTGTGTTGAGCCGCGTAATACAGTTAGTTACAAGACGGCGGCGTGTAGTTCGCACTTACGGATGCCCGTATTTTTTTTTTTTTGTAAAAAACGTTGCCCCACACTAGGATTTTCTCCTGTGTCGTGGGTGCGTTTACAAACATACAAGTTCACATACACATGACACCCAGACCCGGAACAACAATTTGTGGATCACACAAAGTGTTGTTCCGTGCGGGAATCGAACCCGCGACACGTTGCACGGCAGCCGGTTGCCCAGCCACCGCACCAACCGTGCAGTCTAAATAATTTACAGAAAACTGGAAAATATTTACCTACAATTTTTTTTATTGATTCGGACTCAAAATCGATAGCAGAGTTACCTCCTAGAAAATGACGCGGCTTTTAAACAACACCTTGTATACAGTTTACACACGTTGGTATACTGCATGTTCGAGGATGATAGATGACAAAAAGAAGAACCTAATGACCTAATTATAAGTAACCTTAAGCCAAGGGACAAATATCCTACGACGTGTATCGGCGACATGTCAAGCCGAAGCCTGCCGATTTCGCCCGACATATTATAAGGGGACAACGCGCGCCTAATGTCCACAGCGACATTGATGTTGCCAGACATGTCGACAATAGTTCGGCAACGTCGCGCTACTTCACCCACTCAACGTCACTGGCGACACGTGTGGCAGGACACTTATCCCTAATGTAGTTTTGTCTACCGACGAGCATGCACGAAAATAATTTTATTTTTATCTATTTATTAATTACTAGTTTCTGCCCACGACTTTGTACGCGCAATCCCGTTTTCTTCCATAAGATTTTCAGGATTTTTTTCCTACCATAAGAACCCTCTCCTGACAATAGCAAACACAACAAAAATCAGCCAAATCGGTCCAGCCAACCTCAAGATATGGCGTGATAACGGGAAACGGGTTTCATTTTTATATATAAATAGATTTATATTACACAATGTACTTACATATAATAAGATTGATGACTGTTGATGAAGCGAAAGAGGTATTTAAGAATCATAGCAATTGGCGGTAAAATATCCATAGTCTCTGTCTACCTCCATGGGAGACAGGGGTGAGGTTTTTTTTAAGGGGGGAAAATCATCGAATGGCTGCTCCCGCCTGGGTGAGGCGTGTCAGACTCTTACTGACTAAAAACCACCCCGTTCCTTCTCCTGCACGTCGAGCCGGAGCCCCAGTTACCCGTTAGGTTCTCCGCGACAGGCGTGAGGTTAGGTATGTAGGTATGTATGTATGATTGTATGAGGCCCAATGTGACTTGAGACTAATTGGTCAATGTTGAAATTTCTGAATTGAAACTGGGAATCTTTTTTTAGAAGTCGCATTTATAATCACACTTTACCACCGGAGCAGTCATGTATCTAAATGATGAAACCTTCTTAACGTATACTGAACAAAAAAATTGTACCTAGATAACAAATAAAGGTTGATTTAGTACCGAGAGAGTAATCATTGATATTCTTGAGCTGACCAATTGGCTAGTTTCCTAGGTTTAAAATAAATTGTTTCAACATTTCAATGCAATAAATAATTAAAGAATAATCATACTCACATCCATTGATTTGACAATTTACCTACTTTTGGATTTTTTCTCGCTAATTTTAAGGAAATAAGTATGCTATTTGACGCAGAAATATGATGACGTCATAAGTTGTGATCCAATACCAAATTCATAGAAAAATATAGTTTTTGGCATTTCAATAAAAGTATTGAATTTGACTACCTGTCAACTACCGTATTGTTTATAGAAATATAGCTTCGTTACAAAGCAAACAATGAAGTATAACAATCACCAGTTTGGTGACCAAAGGCCTCTTCTCACACGGAGAAGACTTGAGCATTAATCACCACGCTTGCTCAATGCGGGTTGGCGATTACAAACTTATAATTAGATATTATAAGCCCAGATTTCCTCACCATGTTTTCCTTCACCGTTTGTCAGTGGAGTCTAAACAATCTTAGAAAGTACATATAACTCGGAACAAGTCACATTGGTACTTGACGGGCGTTGAAACTGCTCCCTCATTAATAAGAAGCGGGCGTCTTAAGCCTCCGGACCTTTTCCTATACTTAAGTTAACAAGAGTCGAAAAACTAAACTAACAAAGATCAACTGGACTAACTTGTAATCAATTTCCCTTATTGACAAACGAACTGTGAAACAAGTTAACAACTCATATAAATATATAATTGTAGTAAGTCATTTACTTTTAAACTGTTGACGAAGTTAGTTGAGTTAGTGAGTTCATTTATTAATTAAGTTTCCTTAAAGAATAGAAGCTTGACCTGAGCTATTTTTGTTGTTGGTTTTTTAAGTGAAATGGTTGCCTTGTTAGCTAGCTTTGAGTGGATACGGTTAAGGGTATAGCTCTAGGGTTGGGTAAAACATTGTGTTTTTTACGATAAATACGGTAAATTATTATGTTTTCGGTTTACTCACGTGAGCAGCATTTCGGGACCTGCGACGCGGCGACTGTCGCGAGGATTTAGGGTAAACTAGTAGACGGATCACCTGATGACAAGCAATCGGCGTCGCCCATGGACACCTGGTACAACGCCTCTGGTGTACCAGAGGCGTTACAATTGCGTTACCGGCCTTTTTGGGTTTAGGAATTTGTAGAATATAAAGTAAGCTTATTTGCACTTAAATAATAGAACATAACATCACACCTTTTATCCCCGAAGGGGTGGCCAGAGGTGCACACAGAGGTTACACCCACTTATCACTATTTATGTTCTGAGTAGTAGTAGGGGGTGAGCCTATTGCCATATACCAGATACACTTCCAGACTCCGTGTTACTACTGAGATTTTTTTAAAAGCCCAGTATTGTCTAGTTTTCATATCATCTTAGTATATATTATATGTAGTCTGTAAGTTCTATTGATTGTTTAATTAATTTGTTTTTGTTTTCACTTCTATTTTAGTTTTCTTTTATTGTGCATCTACCACCCATTCCCAGATTCTTTTCAAAAATTCCATCCAAGCGTTGTCCGGACGAAATCGCCGCGTGTGATAAGACCGTGTTGCAATGTTTACAATATTTTTTTTTCTGTGTGTGCAATAAAGTATAAGTAATTAAACAATTAAGAAATTATCGAATCACTAGCGACCACTCGGCCAACGAGGCAGCACTTAAATAAGTATGTACTAAGTTAAAAATAAAAAGTATTTTATAGTACAGGACTTGTTTTAAGTTTTAAACTTCCTGCTGTGAGATCACGGTACACGCTGCGATCGACTGTGTTTAACTTAGACATGTTTCACTTAAGAGTTCATATTATAAAACGTATTTCTAATACCCGTTAAGCTTATTTAATATTTTTTAACTTATTTTGCAGCCATCTTCACTACATAGTATAAAACAAAGTCGCTATCCGCCGTCTGTCGAGTAACGAATGGAGTTTCTTGCTCGTTCTTCTCCATTCGAATCGTTTTGGAATGAGCACCTAGCTTCACCTAGCTTCACTGACGGACTGACTGACAGACTATTATTTATTTTGTATTTGTTTCAAAAGTACCAAACTATGGTTTAATTGAAATAAATGATTTGACTTTGACTTTGACCTTGACTTTGTCTGTCCCTATGGTTTTTTTTTATGACATGAGCCGGTAAACAAGCAGACGGATCACCTGATTTAAAGCAATCGGCGTGGCCCATGGACACCTGGAACACCAGAGGAGTTACAAGTGCGTTACCGGCCTTTTGGGGATTAGGAGTTTGAGGATCGTTGGGGATTCAGGGATTGGGGAGATTGGGGAAGGGGAGGGTAATTGGGCCTCCGGTAACTCACTCACACGACGAAACACAACGCAAGCGTTGTTTCACGTCGGTTTTCTGTGAGGCCGTGGTATCACTCCGCGGTCGAGCCGGCCCATTTGTGTCGAAGCATGGCTCTCCCACACTTGTCTGTAGTTTATTTCAGCTGTATATTTTAAAACTTTAATTACTTCATCATAATGTTGATTAGTTTTATTTAATTCAGTTAACGACCCCGCTTTATGGTTAGCAATAATTAAAACGGTCAGTCTTAAGTGCATTTTCTTATCTGCTGTTAGCATTGCAGATAGAATTGTAAACATAACGCCTTTTAATACATTTCTCACTAGCGACTCGCCCCGGCTTCGCACGGGTGCAATATGCATGTATTCCAAAGTATGTCTCTCCCACACTTAATGTATGCTACACTATCTTTAAAACGACGCAACAGATTTTGATGCGGTTTTTTTTAATAGATAGAGTGATTCTCAAGCAAGGTTTATATGTATAATACATGCATGTTGCACCCGTGCGAAGCCGGGGCGGCTCGCTAGTGATATATAAAGTAGTGAATAAGAGTAGTATTTAAGTTAAAGTTCGTTAAATATGTTCAGAGAATTATGGGTCTGGCATGGTATTTGTGTTAACTTACATAATCATAACATAACATCACGCATTTTATCCTCGAAGGTGTAGGCAGAGGTGCACATTACGGCAATTAATGCTACTGTACAATGTAACACCCACTCTTCACTATTTATGTTATGAGTCCCATGTAATAAGGGGTGAGCCTATTGCCATATACCGGGCACAATTCCAGACTTCATACTACTGGGGTTTTCAAAGAAAAACCCAGTTATACTTTGCCCGAACCGGGAATCGAACCCGAATCGGCCAACGAGGCAGTTAGTCAAGCAGGCAGAAAATTAAT